GGGCGCTTTTTTTAAGTCGTAAAGCTGAGTTTTATCCAACTGCATCCTGAAATCACAGAGGGGAGACTGGTACCGCTGCCAGAGGGGTAAGACAACTGGTTGTGGATGTAGCACTGCAATTCGTTAAACATCAAGTAACTTTGCGACTAATTAGGAGGTTAAGGCAGCTATTTAAACACCCGTGTTTCTTTTTTTGAGTATGTTAGCAGTATCTGTTCCTGGATGCGTATGTGGCTGTCATGATTGGAAATCGCCTGGCTACTCTGAATCACCCTGCGCCCCACCCAGCCCTACACTGCGTTTACTACTCCCAGATTCACTGGCAAACTCACCCTCATCTTTTCCGTGGGTTGGTTGGCCAAACCCAGCTAAAGCTGCGCCCCAGGGGCGGCTGGGGAGAGGCTTTGGGGGCCCCGGAGCTGGGGGGCAGCCGGGGGCTGGGGCAGCGCTGCCTCCCTTCAACCCTGCTCAAGCCTGGGATGCTGGAGGGAAAAGCAGCCTAGGAAAAAAGAAAAAAATCCACTTTTGGCTTGAAATAAGCTCCTGATTCCGAAGTAGTGGAGGCTTGCCGGCACTTGTGTTTTAAGCAATAATTTTGTTTGTCTAATCCAGGCACTAATAGGAAAAATATAAACAGAGCTGATCAGTTATGCCAACTTCTGTCAGTAACAACAAAATTGCAGTATTTTGGGTAAAACAGGCTTTCCCCGCGTTCTGCCGCACACAGCAGCCTGCTCGGATGCTCCGAGCTCTGCTCACCCAGCCCTCGGAGCCAAGCGAGACAGAAAAACGGGGGTACGGTCAGAAGCTGCTGAGGATGTTGCACAAGCTTCTGCCTGATAAGATCTCTCGATGAAGAACTAAAAAAAAAAAAAAAAAGTGACAGCGCTGCTCAAAACTGCGACAGTTTCAGTCTATGGAAGAAAACACGCAGCAGAAACCACGCTTACCTTGCCGCGACTCCCATCCTTCGGGGGGATGATATCCATGCTAGAGAGCAGGAGGAGCGAGCTTTCTGCTTTTATTTCCTCCCAATTTTCGCAGCAATCCCAGCCCCATCGACTCCTCGTTAAACTTCCACATCTTTTCGGAGCACTGGAATGCTGCCAGCATCTGCAGCCCAGTACAGTGGCTGCAGACCAGGAAATCCTGTATTTTCTTTCTCTTCGCCACACAAAACGTGTACAGCTAATGACGTTAAAACAACTGGGAGGCGATGACGTTTGATCCAGCTGCTGTGCCACAGAGACCTCAGGCACAGATTTCTCTCCTCCTTTTTGCACAGAAGTTGTGTTCGGTGCCAGTGTCCTTCGGTCGAGCTGCTTCTGCTTTTATGCACGGTTGCTTGCCATTTGCTTGCTAAAAGCTATAAAATACAGAAGCAAAAATTGTCCAATAAGTGCTCGCTAAAGTAAAACTGAAAACTCTGCCAGTGTAAGTTACTGGAAGGTAATAATTTTCTTTCATTTTCTTGGAAGTTTGGTTAGCCTCAGACTATCAAGGCTGTAGGCTAAAGCTAAGGGTTTGGACTTTATTTCGGAAATAATATGATGGTTGAAGGTGGCGATTTTCCCAAAATACTGTTGTTTTAAAAAAAAAACAACACATAATATGCATTATTCCCAATTTCTTTTTTTTTCTTTTTGCCTCCTTTAATTCCTTTCCCCTATATATATATATATATATATGCATATATATATATATAATTTTTAGGGTTTTTTTACTGCCTGCTAAGCATGACCATCTTCTTTCTGAATTGCTGAAAACCGGCAGGCATATATTGTAGCGTAACTTCTTATGAGCTGCCTCATTTCCAGCTGAACAGTTTTACTTGATACACAGCATCACATCTTACGGCCCAGGGCTTGCGAAGATAATATGGCTGTTGGCACCTTTCCCTTTCTTACTGTAAGTAATGTATAAATAGAACTATTCTTGCTGTATTCGTGTATTTTCTGTAATTGGTCCTGTGACCCTGCAAAATTCACAGAAATATAACTGTGGAAGAGAAATGAAAGAAGGAAGCTGTTATAACTCTTAATTGTAGAATAAGCCACCAGCTCAGGGTCTGGGATCAAGCGTGCATCTTTCCCCACGGCATCCGAGCCCACCGGCTCTGCCGGCTGTGCCATTGCCAGGGCTTCTCCGTGCTGGCAGCGATGCCAGCTGCGGGGACCTGCGTGCACCCCCGTGCCGTGGAGTGGTGCTTCACGGCAGTGGCGTGGAGAAGGGAGAAGAGGATCCTTGACCTGAAGTGTCCTGTGGTCAGCGGAGATGCAGTTACTGAAATCCCTTGGTCAACATCCTCATGAAGGCAAAGGCAAGAGCAGTTTGTAGACAGTTTATATACCAGCCTTTATAGACATATCTGTGGGCTGCTTCATTACCATTTGCTTATC